GTGCTCTTCACCGCCTCTCCACTGCAGTTTTACTGCTTTGCCCAGTCTCCTCATGCAAGTGTGTTGAATCAAAATGATCTGCAATTAGTTTACATGATGGGTCTTCACTATTTAAGCTGGTCTAGTTAATTTGGATAAAAATGGATTAGAAGGCAACTGCAGGAGTGGCTGAGGCAGGAGAGCATAACGACTTTCAACAGGGACCAAGGCCAGGCAGGTACAGGCTGGTGCAGGGGAACCTCTCACTGGTGCCAATATCTGTAACATTTACTTATGCCTAAAGTGAGCTCTAAAGCTGGGAGATGCTCTTGGCAGAAGTGGCTGAGCCACCTTACGATGTTTGTTTGTTAGTGCCCCTCTGTTAGCAATCATTCCCACTATGGCAAAGCCATATGCAAGGGACTGCGAGCACTCGTCATCTATTCCAGTGCCAAATCAGATGGGTTAATACAAACAGCTTCGCCTTGAAATAGATGAGCTAGGTGTTAAGAGCATGCAAAGGGGCAGTACTGGTGGTGCAATGAATTTCTGACCACAGCTGAAATCAGACCTCCACGTTCTCTCTACGCAAACTCAGCTTGGGAGTCCATGCACTCACCTGGCCATATGCTCACATGCTATCCTCTCGCATCTCCCATTTGCACTCCAGTTTTGAACTAAAGCAGGTACATATGTGAATATAAAGGAGTTCAGGATGGTACAACTTGCATGCAAAGGAGCCAACAGAAGAAACATTTTGAAGTTGGATGAAAACCTCTAGGACAAGGAAATTACTAGAAAGTGAAAGTCAGTTACTTCCGGTACTACAGAGTGCTGGTCTAAATCACACCTGGGGGCTCTCCACTTAAAGGCAAGAGGATGCAGGTTGTACTCATATCACCCAAGGCCAAATTTTAACTCTGCTCCCTCTCTTGCTTCTCCTTTGACGTGGAAGAGTACTTGTGTAACAGCTAAGAAAGCACATAGACCAACACAGAAGGTACAAAACACATCTGTTCTCAGATAAACCCTAGGAACAAAGCTCTTCAGCCTAATTAAGAGCAGCAGAGGAAGGTTAGAAGAATATGGAAAAAGACAGCCAACTTAGTCATGTTGCCCAACATACCGGTTCTTGCAGTGAGCCCAACTGATGTAGCACTCATTTCCCCAACAATTTTGTTACTGAGCTACAGCACTTTCTCTGCCAATGAAAGACGGTACAGACATTGAACACTCAATGTGTGGCTAATGGCAGTCAGGACCCAAAATGCAGGGGCAGCCTGATGTTCCTCCTCTCACCGTAAAAGGCTGGAAGATTCACTGGGCTGCTTTCTTCATTTTTTCAAGCTTTAGAGAAAATGAAGAGCCCCTATATGGTAATAGAATTTTAAAGAATGACTTACCGAGAATACTCTGCTTTACTCTCTTCTTGGAGGTACCATTAATTTTCGCATAAATAAGGTTAAGCCTCTTTAAATTAAAATGAAATATTACTTCAATTAAAGAAGATGAAAGGGAAGCAACTTTTTGTTCTGTTGTTTTGGAGAGCAGTCTATTTCATACACACACAGATGACAGGGGAAATTTTTGAAGAAATAAATATGAGGAGGTATATTCTTTGGGTTACAGATTTGTCTTTGATGAAGCAGCCTATGAGTATGTTTGGCATTGCTATGAAACAGGAAAAACAAAACTAAACTTTTTTTTTTTAAATAAAACAGCCCTTTTTGGGGATCCTGCTGTATAATTGCAAACACCTCTGCTCTCCCATTAAGATTAGCATTTTTATGTGCATATTAGGGAGATCCTATGGGTATTTATGCAAGATACCATGGGAAAAACTGGCCAATCCACATAAAAGCAAGTTCCCAAAGCAGTTGATTCCTGAGTGCTGTGCGCAGGTATCTTCCATGGGAGATGGAAGGTGGCAGGATTTGTAACAGGGCCTAGGGCCTTCAACATGTAGGTCAAGAATTCAAACACTTGAAATATACTTCTTCAGAACTCTACTGCAATCAAAAGAAACATATTGAGAGCCTTTAAAGAAGCTGTATCCATCCATCCCCATTACGGAAGCCACCCACCTCAGCTCGGTGAGCAAATGAAAGCCCGTACCAAGGATAAAACTCTTTCACTTTAAAAACAACGGGCTTGGTTTGGGGTGCACTCTGTGTCGCTCTATGCCTTTGGCTGACACCGATCAGGAAGGCCAGCAGTATTTATCTTTGAGTATTGGTGACTTTAAGCTGGAGATTCATCCCATAGCTGCAGGAATGGAAAAGCAACACTGAAGATGCTAACCTGGCACAAATTTCACCTCATAGTTGTTTAACTTCAGCAAACAGCACAGGCCCTGTCAACACCACATTCAAAACATTTAGCTGGCTGCTGATGGCAGCAAAGAAGTCCTGCAATCTGGAGAATGCAAACATGCTTTCTACATCCAGAAAAGTTCAACAGATCCCTACAGCGATGAAGAACAGTTGATGCAATTTGTCCCTATAAAAACATTCAGGTATGTGAATATTCTGAGGTGAGGCATTCCTTTAGCTTGTTTCCTTTAACTTTGCCCTCTTTTAGCATAAATCTGCCAGGCTTCTTCCTTCTTATGCGCTCAGATAAGGCCTTACTAATATGTTCATACCTATTCTTCGTAATCTTTTAGTTAAGGTCTTAATGATTTTACATCTTGCTTCCATTTTACGTTTAACTTGTTAGTGTTAACAACAGAGGAACTTTCGTTTTAAATTTACATCAATTCTAATCTACAATATAGTAAAATGAAATGTAGTACTGATCTGCTATATCCTGAGGAGGATACTACTGCTGAGCTTGGTGAGAGGCAGAGCTGGGAAGAATACTCCTCCCTGCTTTCCTGGTAGTTTGACAGCACTAAAAAGAAAAAAAAAAACAACTAGGCTTCATATAACCAGAATTAAAAAAAAAAATGCTACACAACACACAGTAAAAATAAATACATTCTAAAAACATTTGAAGAATGGTTAGATTTACTTTGCCACATTCGGCAGCTTGTTGCATTTTGTCTTCCACAAATGATCCAGCTAGAAAAATTCACTCAAATGTTTAGAGAAACAGAAAAGCTGACCAAATAATTCAAACATTTGTGGAACTGAACGTTCACTTAATAACTGTAAATAGCCCTTTTACACCTGGAACTGAAGTGCTGTGCTTCCTCCAACCTGTCCATTCACAGAAATCTGGAGAAAATTTTAATTCCGCAGAGCTATGCATCCAGGCAACACTCAATGTTAACCAAGAAATGCTTGGAAAGAGACTGCAGCACAAAAAGCATTTGTGGAAGTTATATAGTGAATATATTTTAAGAACAACTATATTTCAGATCATCAGTGTTGCTTCCTTTATATTTTGTAAACAAGAAAAGAAGCCATACCTAAACTATTTGTAAGGAAGGTGCAACATAGCTCCTACAGTTGCTATCCTTTTCATTGCTTACACAACATATACCATGTGGAGTAAGCTAGTTCCTCTGTTTTGATTTAAAAAATAAAATAATTTATGTTCGGCATCAATCACATTGCCAAAGTTCAGACAGAACTTTTAACAGTAGTACCAGCCTGAGCTACATTTGTCCCCAGTGACAAACCCCAAAAATATGACAGCCTGGAGCACTGGAAAATGCCTGCTGAAAAGACCATGGACTTAAAAAAGACTTAAAAAAAAAAAAAAAGTGCTATGACAATCATTCAGGCAGCAATGCATCTACCCTATTCTTTCTAATAATGGCTCCTGACCTAGCTCAGGGACCGCTCATTTCGACTACTTGTGAAAACTGGTGGCTCTGTGAAATGCTTAAGGAACACAAGCTGTTTTTAAGACATGAACTTAACACAGTAATGTTTTAATGTCTGCTCCCAAGTATCAAAAAAGTACCTCTTAAATATTAAATTGTGGAGAAAGAAGAAACTGGTGTGCATTTCAGTGAGAATCCAAATGTTTCATACACTTGGTATGACTACTAGAGGCCCCCAGTGGCTAGTATGTGAAATATCAAGCAGTATTGAGAGGAGAAAAAGGCTTATTTTTTCTTTATCATTCGGGAAGAGATATTACCAGGGTTTACATGTTGTGCGTCCAAAGATATAAACGCTTATAAACAGAGTTAAAATCTACTATTTCCCTCCTCCTATTTCTACTGCCAAACTTCAGTTGCTCATTAATTATTAAGGGGGGGGAGTCTAAATTTTAGGACTTTCACAGTCCTCTTTAAAATTTTCTACTAACTAACTGAATTTCTTTTTAAAGAATCTTTGCCAAGAAGAAGAGAAGAGGACAGAAGGGCAGCAAATGGGTTAACACATACTATTCTCAAATTCTTAAAATGCACGAAGAACATGCATTTTGGTTTATCTCCAATTTCTGTAATGCCCATCAGTGCTTTAAAATGAGTAACTAATAGGACTTTCATATGGTAGTGCGGTCATCACGTTTATCCTGCCTCTTTTAGTAGATAATAACGTAGCTCCTGCAGGTATGGCCTGCACTCAAGACCGTGGGAAAGCTGTCGTTTCCTCAGTACTGGCAGTTCCCCATATTCTTTGTGACTCACTGTAGGGCAGGTACCCAGAACCTCCCCAACCAAAAGATCAGAGAGGCAAACAAGACCTGACCTTCTCCTGGCAGGAGGCTCTTCAGGGCCCCATGAACTTTCCTCCAAGTTTGAGCTACCGCCAAGAGGCCACCCACGTTATTTATGTGCTAGTTTGCCCATATTAAGTAGCTCACTTGAGTCAGGACTGCAGATAGTAATATGAAGATAGGGAACAGTTAGTTAATCTTCCAGAAATGGAATGAGCGATTGGAAGAATCTGAGATTTTATTTCTGAGGCAGGTACACTTGGGACTTCAAAGTCTAAGAGCAGTTTCATTTTGTACTGCAAATGCGAAAGAGTTTAGTGTAACATAGTAAGTTCTTAGAGTGCTGCCTGGTAATGCTGCTCTAAATAGACTGTGATCCTACTGGCTGGAGCAGAGAATTATTCCTTCCAGGTGCGTGCCTGTATAAAAACCTCTGGAGTGTGTGTGCATCCTCCTACAGGGAATTTCCAGTGCCCTCTGTCACAACAGGTAACTACACAATTGTTCAACTAACATTGTTTGTATTTTCTATTAACTAACAAAGGAAATCCATTTATCTGAACTCTTACATTTCTAGTTACCTGACCTAGTCAACCAATTTAAGTATACCTACTTACTGAGGGACAGCAATGTTTCATAAGGAGTGACTGTCAGTGCTCTTTTTCAGTATTCAGATGCATTTACCTTGTGGACTCAAACACCATATAGCTTTAATACAGTGACTTTCCTAGCACTAGCATTTCCTTTATTTCCTAGCCTTTATATTCATATATATATATATATTTTATATATATATATATATACACACACATAAATACCTACATATGCATTTTTACTTAGTGCATGAGAACCGAAGAAAATCGCATGAGCTCTAAGAAACAGCGATGTTTGCGTATAGCATGCTAAGCCCTAACACACGAAGAACACACGCTGTAACTGCATTTCCCATGTGAGCAAACGCAAAGTGGCTTCTGTCCAAGTAATTCAGACTGAAAGAGACTACGCTGTATAGCTCTGTGTGAGGCTGACATAACCCATTTCAACAGAGATGTGTTTACAGCTGAAGATCAAGTGACACTGTATTGCTCACTAACCTACTTATTTTTTTTTTTCCTGCCATGCAGCTAGATTTGAAAAGCTCTTCCCAAACAATGGATTTTGGAAGATCTGAGGCAGAAAGTTTAATCCTACGGAGGATAAACTGTTACCTTAAGGCTTATAATCTTACAGTTCCATCTTCAGTATTTTATTGCCTTACTAATTACATGTGACTTTGTCAAAGAGAAAATTTTGTGAAATACTTTCTCTTCTTAGGTTCTGAAGAAATCAATATGATTTTCTTAAGTCCTTTTGTTCATAAGATTTAAAGATTATTAGTGAAGTCCATACCAGCTTAAAAACCTTGGCAACCACAGAACTTAGACAATCATTTCCCTTTAGCATTACTCTGCAAGGAAATCAGCTGCTAACATACAGAAATAGCCAACATTTTCTAAGATAACAGCTTGGAATTACTTGGTTGCTATATATATGTATGTATGTATGTATGTATATTTGATCAAAATGCTTATAAAAGTATAACAAAGGAACTCTGCTATTTTTTTTACGTTGCTCTTATGCATTGGAAATTCACAGCAAAACAGCTGTGCATGTTTAAAAAAAAAAAAAAAAGGCAGTATTTATGATTATGACAGGAGCAATTTCACTATATTACACATAGGGTATATAATAATGAAAACACTGTCTACTTGCAACTAGCTTACTCAATAATGACTTAAGTAAGTCTGTAGTGATAAGGTTCGGTCTTAAAATAGTAAAATAAAACTGTGCATCACTAAGACAGAGACACTGATATACTTGAATCCTTGAATACTAAATTTGTCCTAGAGTTTGCAGCTAGAAAAACCCTCATCAGTTTATGAAATATATTATTAATAATTTATGGTAGTAGACTTGCTTCTTTTGTATTTTAAAGAAGCAATTTTATTCCACAAACGCTACGTGGACAAAGATAAAATTATTGATGACACTAGTACAGCACCTACAAGCCGTGGACATAAACCCAAGCCCAGTGTGTTAGTGATGTACAAATGTGGAGTGAAAACATAACTTTACCTTCCAAAAATTTCCATCTAAGAACTCAGGCAACTGATGGATACAGGAATCAAACCAGTCTCAGCACAGTATCAGTATAACCATTATAGGTGTTTTTTTTGGACCTCCTGACCATTTTAAGAAGAGATTTAATAAAAACAGACTGCCTTTATGAATATTTAAGCAGACCTTCCTTTAGGAGAGCTTAAAGGGCAAAACAGGAGAAAGCATAAAAATTTTATTTTGAAAACGTAACAGGCCTAATTTAAATTAGAAATTCATGTCTGTGCTACAGAAGTGATAACAGTATATTTCACCGTCAGACAAGCAATTATATTAGGTACTTTGATGATAGTAAAAAAATAACTTACTGCAAGTCCCTTAACAAATTTGTATTTTCTAAAGCCGGTTTCTAAGATATTTTGTGGTGTTCACTGCTGTACACAGCCAACGGAAATTTTGACTTGCTGCAGTGAGAACTAATTTAGGCAGGAAAAAAAAGACAGAAAGGATCACTTTCCACTAATTCTGACAAGTTTAATAGTTTACTCATTAAACAAGCCCTTCTGGTTTCTACATAAAAGGATAATGCAAAGTTTCCATCTGCTTTCTTTTTTCAAGATTAGGCTTACACTTAAATAGTGGAGATGTCAGGCTACAAGAGCCTTACCACAGTAGAAAAGCCTTTGAAAATGTAGCTCTTTGCATATTTAAACATAAAATTTTCAGAATACCGGGCCTTCAAGTAAGTTTTCTCTGGCTGTAGCAATCACCAGTTTGCGCAGATTCCTTTCTTTTGATTATGAACCTTGTCAAATACACAAGGGTTAATATATTTCCCTACAGATTTCCTAAAACATTGAAACACGTGCAAGATTTATTCTAGCTTCAGACATGAAAAAGAAGCATTACTGAAAATTCAAAATATACTTTTGAAAATGAGAGACTACATGCAAATCACTAGTTCTTTTAAGAAAGCAAAACTCTTTCACAAGCAGGAAAAAAAAAGAAAAAGGAAAATGGAAGTATTCATTCATATCCCAGGAAACGCTGTAGCTGTTGAATTACGTTCAGTCTCTTGCGTACCATCATCATTCCTTAAATTATTCACAAAGTGTGCTTTGCCAGAACTTGTTATTAGCTAGATTGAGGCCCTCTCAGAGGAAAAAAATAAAATAAAATCACAGATCAATTTACTTTAAAACATGCTATTTTCTGACAGTACAAAACCACTGTGCCATAATTTGAACAAACGTGGTGCCGCACACCACACTTGGCGAGTTTGAATGCAAATCCTGTCCTTGTCAGCAAAGAGAGTAGCAGTAAGGAATATATCAAGCAAGCATCAATAAAACCGCAATAGTCTCAAAATCATGTGGGCAAATAAATCACCCACACAAGTCAGCAGTTACTAAGCTCCTTAAAAAACTACCTCCAGGCATTGCTTCATCTCCTGGACTCCGCCAAACCTTTTCCCCTTCTAGTCAGTATGTCAAGAGCAGCCTCCTGTGGTATGATGCAACCCACGCTATACAACACTATCTGCAGCCCCCCAGCCTGGAGAGTATTGGCTGCAGCCAGTTAACCAGCTTTACCACTGGAAGGCCAAGTCCTGAGGCTCTTTGGGAAAAACGGTAATTTATACAGACAAAAAGATCACAGACCTTACAGGACAGTTCATCTTTCTCACTTGTTGCTTCAATCTGTATGAATATCGTGAAAGTTAGCTCACTTTTCAGACTGTAGCACCATCAGTTTAGTGATGTTGTGGTAAGTTTTTGTTGTCCACATAGTGAAATGAAATGCAGCAATACAGCTGGAGTTTACCAGAAAGTGTTTGCAGCTGTTTCCAGAGGATTACGAAAGCTACCTCTTATCATAGCTTCCTGTCCTTTCAAACCATCAATTAAAAAAAAAAAAAAATCATTTTTTCTCCTTACAATCACATCTTATGGAAATAGAGTGCTCTTATGTTTTACAGTATTAATTTTTTCCCCTTCCATTTCAGCTCTCTTGCTATGATCTCTACACAGCAGCCACCGTTCCCCAGCGAAATTCAAACAGTAACGGATGGCCAAACTGAGGAAAAAGAGGCCTGTGAAGACCAATATGACTCTGAAAACTGCACTCACAGCTCCAAGCACGCATCATCAACAACAGAATCCAACTCAGGTTTAATCCAATTTAAATACTGCAATTTCTATGGCATGCTAGTATTTCATACTTTCTCCTGACTACATTTTCTTTTTGGTGATCTCTATTTTCCCACCATTTCTTCATATATTTTTATTTATTATCAGATCAAATATAAAAAAGTATGCCATCTCCACAATTAAGATACATGTTTAAAAAGATCTGTTTTTTTTTTTTTTATTTAGACATCTTCTAAGGATTATTTCTCAATTACAGTCACAGACATGTTACAACATGCATTGACTGGGCTAGCACTGCTGAAGTTGCGGTATGACAAATTTCAGCACAGGCTAAATTGCTCAGATACCTCCCAAGGATTCTACGTCAGCATCAATTAAAATCCATGCAAGCCAGAGCTAAGTTAACCAATATTCTGACACACTGATACATCACACAAGTTGAAGCGTCAATTTTTTCTTTTGTTTTCTGGAGGAAGATGATAATGATGAAAAGATTCAGAACTAACTCCCGTTAAAAGGTCCCAGAACATTTCTGTGGAATCAATACTTGCTGCTGTTCTGCCCAGACCGCTGCAGTTGCATTTCAAAGTTTCTAAGAAGCTACAGTAAGATATCATACCGATAACAAGGATTTGCAGACCCTGACCTTAGGTAACAAATTCAAAATATGAGAAATATTTTTCAATATCACATGGGAAACCCAAAATTTCCAAAAGAATACATTTCCCACAAATGAAAAATATAGTACACCTACATGGTATACCATGGCATAGATATAAACTGTGGCAAACCCCAAACCAAGATAACTTGGGTCTGAAAGTCTTTCAGCCTTATTAGCAGAGTTACGTATTTGAATTAGTAGATCCTCCTAAAAGACTTGCTTCTCTCTGTAAATTGTCCACACAAGCATTCAGAACAGCAGGAAAGGACCACTGTTCCTTTGACTCCCTAGGCAGGCAGACTGTCCACCTTGGACAGCAACTCATCTTGAGGCCAATGACCTGACAGCTTTTCCAATGAACGCTGCTATGTGCTATAGTAACAAAGTAATTTTATTTATTTATTTATTTATTTTTACCTTTTAACAAGTTGCACAATGAAATGAACATGTTCATGCATATAAAACAGATTTCATCTTTTCCTCTCTCAGATTCACCGGTCACTCTTAAAATACTACAGAACTGGGTTCCCAAAGTTTCCCACTACTTTGATAAAGAACACTATACCTATGCAGGCCATCAGATCATCATTCAAGAGTCAATAGAACACTTTGGAGCAGTGGTATGGCCTGGCGTAAGTATTCAACGAGGCATGTAGAAAGCTGACACAACAGAGAAGTAAATTATGACAATAGCACACAAATAAGTTTTTTTAGATAATACTTCTGACAGAGGCTTCCCTATGCAGAATGAACTTGTGAGTACTTTAGCAGAAAGCTCCGACTAATGCTAATTTGATGGTTTGTGGCATAAGAACCCCAGGATGCCAGTGAACAAAACGTATATTCTTTTTAAAATCATGTGCCCTTTCCACTTAAAGGCCCAAGAAAAAAACCAAGTCTCTATCTGCTGAACGTGTACATTGAATTCAGATATTGAACAAAAATTAAGAAAGAAAAATCAAGAAGAAGTGTTCAGCTTCTTCTATGTCTCAAATCAGTCACTGCTGGGAAGCAAATAATCAGCAATGGAAAAAAGGAGGCTAAAGAAAAAAAATTATGGGAGAGATTAAATAAAGGAGTTTAAAAACAAAAAATTATGCTTCTTTAAAAGACCAAGCTGGAATAATTCTAGTGCAGAATGCGCAACCAGAACAGCTTCCTCTGTTCCATTTTCACTTCAGAAAGTTATTACCAATGAACAGCATTGTGAGAATTACACCAGACTGAATGAGCCAAATCGTCTTTAAAACTTACTGGAAAGGAGGAAACTGAACAGCAGATTCACCTGATAAAGCTCTGAAAGGCAGTCAAAACAAAATACAGTGTTTATATGACAGTGTATAGGAGTCTCTTGGGAATTCTGTGAATGTTGCATCATGTGCAGATGAAAGCACTTTTCACCATCACAGGAAAAGCAGAAAACAGGCAGTTGCTACGGGGAATCTTAACTTGCTTTTCCCAATGCTGTGAAGCAAGTGATTAATTCTTTAATACTATCATTAAATTAATATTACTGCAGGTGTATCCTACCCAAGAATATAGACAGGACAAGATGAAGAATAGTAGTACACATCCCAGCCCCTTGGCCCTTTGGACAGTCCTTAAGAGGTGTTATGTACAACAGCAAGCTGGACAGGACCTGAAGTGTTCTACATCCATGCTCTTAGGCTGATTTATGAGAACATCATCTTCCAACACAGAAAATCAGAAAAGTCTAACATCATCCAATAAATTTACTTTCCATTAATTTTTCTTTGCCCATAGTCTGTTAAATTTATGATGACTGGACAAAGGACAAATATCTATTGTAAGAACAGTCAATCTATTGAGGATCTTTATACCAAAAAAACCCAAAAACCACAATGAGTACTAAGTTCTTTGGTCGTCCTGAGGTTCAAAGGCATTTTCGTATCCCCCTCACTCTCAGTTTATAAAAAAATTGTTCCAGGTGGCAGAAGTAATGACAGACACAGAATTTTATTATGAAAGGGAGAATTAGTCAACACTGTCTCAGAAAGGAGATCATGTGCTGGTCTTGCATGTTTTGCCATGTGAAAAACATGCTACTACAACTACTTTCCTTGCTGGATGAGCTTGTTCATGTATACCCTAAAACAAATGTTAGGTATTGACACTTACAGAATGTTTTCTTTTATGGTTTTATTCCATAGTTTATGTATAAAGTTTCCATATGAAAGCAACAGAATAATAATATAAGGTGAGCTATGTTACCCTAGGTGATCCATACATAATCAGTTTGTTAGCAAGATTTATCCACTCACAGTCCATTTTGATATATCAGGTTCTATATATGTGACTGCTTCAGTCTGACAGCTCAAGAAACCTTAAAGTTGTTTTTAAGGTAAAAGGAAAAAAAGAAATCACTTTGCTATTTTCAGAGCTGAAGATAACTTAAGGAAGGAATTTTTATTATGCAACTTCAAGCTTCTGATCTGAAAATCTAAGCTAAGATCTGGAGTTCTTTTTATGCAAGATGACCATTTCTGAATGGGGAATTCAGTATTGGTAACTTACATGCCCGAGGTTAGATATATTACTACAAAGACAGAATGTGAATTTCCCAATATAAGCATATTAACTATTTTAAAGTCTTTAAAGACATTTGAAGTCTTTATATGGAAAACTGCCAGAAAATGACAGACTATTTCAAAACAATGGATAAAAAAAGCATATGGACTGGTAAAACAATATTTTATTTTGAAGTGTCAGATCATCAGCTCTGAAATTAACCAGGTGCCAGAACGCAGATGGTAAATGTTTCCAAGAAAACCTAGCGGGTGCACAGTTGGACTGGTGATTCATTAGTTGTCAGCTTTCTCAGAGCAGGTACTCAGTGGTGCATTACGTAAAGCACAAGAGTTAAAACAGTAACAGTACCACAATTCTTAAGCAGTCAAAGCAGGAACTTAGTTTCTATGACATCTGTTTATGTTGTTTATAAACATCTAATTTTTGCTTTAAATAAGATCTTTATAAAGGACAGATAAGCTCTTTTCCTGTTCCCTTACACTTATTCTTTCACCAATAGACACCAATATTCAGTACCTTACTATCTCAGAAAATACCAATCTAACACTTCCTTTTCAAACATATTTTAAAACACTCCCCCCACCAAAATCAGTTTTTTTTTTTTTTTTTTTTTCCAAAAAGTCTCTGCTGAAGCCTGAACTACTTTATGGATAACAAATTATAACATTGCTTTTTGCATATCATTAAACCTTGTTTGCTGCATTGACTGCGTAGAGTTCATATGCAGACACTTCCTATCTTAAGTTACCAGAGGAATCGAGAACTGTACAACAGTGTGTAGCAAATCCATATCCCACAAAATCTAAAAAATAAAAATTAGCTGTTTAAAAGATTTTGACCCACATCCCCACACAAAAAAAGACAGGACGCATCTTGTTTCTTCCCATATGATGTTTTCATGTTATAGCCTTTCGTGTTTTGCACTGTTCAAAAAATATTAAATGGATTTTGTGCAACTTACCTAATTGATACCTCTTTGGATATGTGTTAACTTTTTAGGCACTGGCTTTATCTCAGTATCTGGAATCAAATCAAGAACGATTCGACCTCAAAGACAAAAAAGTTTTGGAAATTGGTGCTGGAACAGGCTTGGTTTCTATTGTGGCCTGCATCTTGGGTTTGTAAATTCTAATTCCTTTTGGATTTCTTGTGAGAGATGACCTAGATCTACTAATGCCATTTTAAAGACAATGAAGCTAGAGCTGAAATTAAGGCTTTGTTTGCCGTTACTTTTTAAAGTGAAAATTATTGTAAAATACGGTTCTGTTAAGAAAGTAACTACCCTAATTATTGATGGGGGAAAGTGGTAGGAAGTTATATAGGTATGCGTTCCTATGTCCATACATACCTATGAATTAAAACAAGCTCATGTTTTCTTTAGGAGCTTATGTTACAGCTACAGATTTGCCTGAAGTTCTTGAAAATCTCTCATTTAATATTTCAAAAAATACACGAAACATGAACACGCACAAACCTGAGGTGAGAAAACTGGTGTGGGGAGAAGACCTCAATGAAGACTTTCCTCTATCAACTTACCATTATGATTTCATTCTGGCAACTGATGTTGTATACCATCACACAGCTCTGGAACCCCTGCTAGCAACAATGGCATATTTTTGTCAGCCAGGGACAGTACTACTATGGGCAAATAAATTCAGATTCAGTACAGACTATGAATTTTTGGAAAAAGTTTGTGATACATTCGACACAACCATTCTAGCAGAATTTCCAGAATCAAATGTCAAGCTGCTTAAAGCCACAACGAGAAAAAACTGAAGAGAAAATAATTACTTGTTTTGATTTAATGGCAGCACCTTACAGTTTGGAATGTTTTGTAGCATTATGGTGTACTCTTTGCATTTATGTCAGTACAGTTGTATCAGTTTTCCATTACAAAATACAAAAAAAAAAAAAAAGCAAGACAAATGATATCCTAATGTCCTGAGCTCATACAGATAACCTGTTCAAATAGATGAATTTCACACCATTGAAGGAACAATGTTAGTAGCGACAGTAAGTAGCAAGGCATTTTCAGGAAGCACTGCAGCCCAGAAGATCAGTGAATTTCTGATCAACAGGTTTCACTTATGTACTCTTGGAGAAACAAGACAGTTCTCAGCTTCATTATTTGTTTTTATTAATTATAAAATTTTTTTAAAAGTATCAGAGTGCACATGGTGTTTTTTGATCTTCAGTTTTGCACATTTATTCTGTGTTTTACAATTTTAACATTATTAAACATATATGTATAGCTTTACAATACCTGATTAAGATTAAACTGTCTGGCACTTTTATACACGTATCAGCCTGTCCTGATACTCAACTTCACATAGATTTTTTTGAGTTTGCCCGAAATCACTCCAAAATGAAGATATACAAGAGCACCTATGCATAGCAATTCCGAGTTACACATTATGACAGTTTTGAGAGGTTGAATTTTTTTTTAAAAAAAAAAAAAAAAAATGTAAACTCTTGCAAACAATGCAGGTAATGATGTCCCATTACTACAGTCTAATAAATAAGATTTTAGCTACGCTTGATGTAGCTTTAAGGCCTTCATACAATTGAAAGTGAAATTACGATTAAACATGTTAAAATTGTTTACTGTAAAAAATACAAAGCTTTTACAGGTTTACAGTTAAAATTAACATTTAAGAACCTAACTTGCATGCAATAAGCCTTCTCAGCCTAATTCCAATCCTTGGTGTTGGCAGTTCTGGCACATCCATTGCCAGCAATGGGATGCACCTTAAGGAAACTCCCTGATGTCAGGAGTTAGGTTAACAGGTATTAAGCTGTACTCCGATGCCTTTACTGATAAATACACACAATTTAATAATCAGCATTCAGTAATGAAAACATGCGTTCCAATAAAAAGTCAAACTTATCTTTTCATATCCTGCCCATATAAAAATCACTTTAAAGTTCACAATTGTTGGTTTTCTAGAATACACAATAATCAGGTGGATACATGACAGGAAGCCAATTTTCAGTGAAAGTTGCACAATGAGTCCATCCAAGTAACTTCATTAGCTGAAGAAAAAAGCAAGCATAAAAACCATGAGAAGCTTCCTCTAAGGTCTTATTCTCTTCTTAATCTAAATCCTCCCAAAGAACACCACATAGATACAGATGTCTTAGAGAGAACTATTAGCAGAAAGACAATAGATAGGAGATCTTTGATATACTTAGCCCTGAATGAGAAATAAAACCATCCTATGTAAGCTGCAGTCTTTCAATTTGATGGACAAAAAAATTTTGTCCTAGGGGATGTAATAATTCCCATCATCAACTCCCCCCACACCACATTGCTACTGGCAATATTTGTGATTACTAATATTAAAACCAAGGTTGAATAGCAACATTATGCTATTTTAAATATGCAAAACATTTTGAAGTAAGTTATCGCTATGCTTGCTACGTTCAACAATAAGTTCCAAAAACTAATTCTCTTAAAACTGACAGTTACTCATAAAAAAGTCATTCTAGAAAGAAGAAATCACTATTACAAAAGGAAAACAACAAAAGCATGTGTTAAGCTTGTTAAAAATGTTGCTTAGTGAGTTCTACAACTTAAAAGATATCAAAAATCCCAGAAGACGTGCACCTCTTATTTTCAAAAGCTTATTCAGCCTGAACACAGTCCATCACTTGAACAAATGCACCTTACCTGAATGCAGTTTTTCAAGTTGTCCTTTGTTGGCTTCTCTTCTGCAAGTTTGGTTGCAAACTTGAGACCTCTCCCGTACATTTTATTTGCCAATGCATGCTTATAGGCAAAAGTCAAAACCTACAAGGTGTAAACAAAAACAAATTAGATTTTAAAATAATTGAATCTTGCAAGTCTTAAACAACAACAGATTCTGTTCAAGTAGCAGAAGTAATTTAAACAAAGTAAAACCTAAGATAGCTTTCAGTTTTTTGTAATAAAAAAGATGACTCGCAGTAGTAGTTATAAACATGAACATCCTAGAGACTATTTCCTATTTCATGAACATATCTGACTTCAGAACATCTTATATAATGGACAGGTCGCTATTCAAAATATTGCATTAATTGCATTTCTAGCTTTCTTGGATTTTTATTCTGTAGAAGCTACTGTTTGGCATATAAAAATCAGAAACCAGGCAGCTATATCTTTGACTCACAGAACTAAAGATCCGATTGTGAGGTTCGATTCCCAGGAAGTCACAAACTTATTGTAGAAATAAACGTGAACATACATGTGAATGGTTTTTTTAATATATATTTATATACATACAAAGATATGTACATAATCATAAACAAGCAATGAAGACAGGTAAGCATGAAGACAAGCCTCAGGTTTGGTCAGTTCCTTAGTCCTGATGATTTATTAAAACAGACTATGAAAAAAAAAACTTCCTCTTGGTAACATTAATTCCAAAGAGACAGTATTTGTCCATGTTCTAACTAACATGCATAAGTGAATGCCTTTACTTTTAAGTATGTAATGTAAGTGCTAATGTAAAATAAATCAAGTTAATACCCTAGCACTGGTCACATTCAGAGTATTACAAGATGCTATTTCATACTACTTCACCACTAATGCTTAGTGTCCAATCAAGACGTTTTATGTTCCACATATTCCTTTTGCACATCCATAGTAAATTTTTTTTTTCTTTCTTTAAACTGAAAAGTGACACATATCAGCAAAGTTAGGAAACATGGCAAAAAGGCTCAGGTTGTTTCTGTTGTTGGCAAAGTTTGTTAGGAAATCTGGCATTACAGTTTGCTATTCATTTCCTCTCAGTACAATGTTTTTCCTTCTCCGACTACTCCAATAAAAATTTGTTTTTCCCAACACCTGCTTAGAACATCCCAATAAGAAAACCTAACAAAAACATTCCAAAGATATTCAGAAATAAATATTTATCACTAAGAAAAAAAAAATTAAGCATTTAATATTATAAGCACTAAGAAATCTGAGATCCCAATACTGCAAAGACTGAAAAATCTGCCTAACTTTAGCTGCCTGAACACTTGTATTAAATGTCAGTCACAAACAAAAGTCTTTGCAGGATCAAGACTTAAGAGATTGAGCTAAAAAACATCCCCCTAACCCCCCAAACACTTATTCCTAAGAAAGTAAAGGTATAATTTTCAAGCTCTGAAATATGATCCAAGCACTCAGAGTTGCTCATTCTCCTTCTGTCTTCAAGTACTTATTATGTTCTGCTGAAGTATTCATTTAAGCTGCTATAGATTTTGAATACTGAATTCTACTGGTTTAAGCACACACATATATGCAACAATGAGCATACAGCACCATTCACACACAGATTTTCCAAATATTACTATTGGAAAAACATTTTGCATGCTGCATTCTCAATCCAAATATTTTGGATATTTTCCGAGAGCAAAAAAACATGAGCAAACACTTCTGAACAACTGCTCAGTGGATCCACTAGCAGATTTAGTTGGTTAAACTAAACTTAAAAAAATGATCCCTTCCATAAAAGATGATAGAATCACAAAACAAAACAAAAAATTAAATGAAAGATGCATTGGAGCTCTCAGCATATATAACATATTGGAGGCTAACCAGAAATAACACCACTGCTCTATTAAGAAAGCTCTTACCTGACCCTGTAAGTTTTGAATGGCTACTGAACATCAGTGATAAAGGCAGGAGGAAAGCCACTTGACACCATTTCTTTCGTAACAGGGCTCCCTAGAGTTTTTGTGGCAAAAAAACAAAGCATTTTACGAAACACCCTTGCTCTGGCTAAGTAAAAAATGTGGGTATTTCTAAACGAGAAAAAAAAAAATCTGCTGGACCAAAGAGGTTGCAACAACGTTCCAAGAGTTCTTGATAAAAGATAATAATTTCTGTTTTGGTGTTGGAAAAACTGTACACAGGTTAAGTAAAACTACTAGAAGTTCATTAGTTTTAGATAAGACAATGTTATACTTTATAACTTGTGCACATATTGATCAAATTAAGCCTTATAATTAAAACACTGCAAGCTTTACAATATCACAAAAGTGAAGCTTACGAGTCCTTGATACTTATAAGCAAAAAGTAATTTGGAAAGCTATTAAGATGTAACAGAGAAAACAGCTGCTATCCCGATGCATAACAACAGCAGATAAACAATCTGTAGCATTTAAAAGCAGTTGACAGATGAAAGAAGTTAACTGAAATAAATTCTAAGTACTTGATAATATCATTTCTTAATTTCAGTAAATCAGCCTGACTTTTATAGGTATAGTGATATGGACCATAAATTGGCCAAAGCTCTATAAACAACGATGTCTATTTCTAGCACATTATGTTAGATAGCACATTTCCCAAACTAATGACCTGTAGAAATAAGTATACTGAGAGCCAGATCCACAACTGTGGTAGGATCTCTAGCTCCTAACTAGCTGCCCAACTTGTCACTAACTCCATTGATAACTCAGGTGGCTACATAAAGATAAGCACTTATGACGATAAAGTGCTGAAATGATATACCTTAAGATATCTGCAGAACTAAAATATTTAAAAGCCTGAAAACACTTTAAAAATAAATTATCTAGCAACACTAATCTGTCTAATAGAACGTTTCCAGGATCCTAATCCAGATTCCTATATAAAGGAAAACAAACTTGTATAATTAGTTACATCATCATTTAAACTATTGCTTAAAATGTATCTATAGATCATATAACATAACTTAATATTTTAATTATTTGAATCTATAGATAAACTCACTACAGCCACCAGTAAGGACACTGAGTTGATATGTTTATAATTACCAATAAGCAAGTTTCTTCAGGTTCATGTATATCTGTAGTAATAAACTAAGGCTTCTTAACCATCTTTGTTGCCTTTCTCCTCTATCAACTGGCTTATTACAAATAAAAGCAATATTCCTGTAAAAAAATTGAGTCATCTTATTTTCAAGAGAGGGAAGGGAGTTAGGGGAATCAAATATTTATCTGGCAGTTTTTGGCAGTGATTGAATATGATCAGCTGGAATAGATCTAATTTTACAGCTGCATCTGACACAGTGTGGACAGTAACATGAAAACTATCCAGGCTAAAGGAGTTTTAAAAGACAGAATGGAAAGGCCTACATCTTTTATTTGTCTACTTATTTTTAAATGCAAGTCTTTGCTTATCCCTGACAGCTACCTCAAAGCTGAGGGGCTAAATAAAAAAAAAGAAAAAAAAAAAAAGCATTACATTCTAACAGGTGAGACACTCCCAGCAACAAATTGAAAACATCCTACTACTCTCCTGTAGAAGTTGCATATAAAGATGGTGATTTTGGTCTACAAATTAATTTTAAAGCTATGATCTGGATTAAAAAAAAAAAAATCTGCACAATTTATATGCCATTACTGAAAACCCTAAAGCACTATCATGAATGAGTTAGCATAATCAAAGAAATACTTACTGAATAGAGCTGTGACAACTAGAGTTTACTTGAAATGCATGCATAGGGGATGTAAATATTTTCTTTCATATGCTTTAAAATAAGCCTTCAGAGAGAGACAAGCGATTTGAATAGAATAGCTGGAGCGTGAATAAATGTACTTACTGTCAGAGTCAGTACCAGCTTCCCTACATGCTTGCTACAATGTGACAACAGGCGTGATGCTACAATGGAAAATAGCAATTCAAAGGAACTTAATGTCCTGTGGCAAAACAGGCGATACAACTGCAGCAGACAGGTGAAACAAATGATACTATCTGGTTTACTAGAGGGTGAATAGAAACAAACAAAAGAGTGACCAGGTTCCTGATGCATCACTAGAAAAAGCATAAAAGAAAATATGGTCACTTTGTTTTCAAAAATCCACTTAGCTTTTTAATTACTGTTATTTGGATGAACTTTGACTTATAGGAAGCTTAAAAGTAAAACCAATTAGGCTAATATGTCTTCCGGAAGTCATACGTGTTCTTAAATTATCAGTACAATATTAAATTTATTTTCACTTTCATATCCAGCTGCCGATGGCGCAAAGCAGTGTTCAAGTATAAGAAAACCTCCACGTTTGCAGTTCCAACATACTGCTTTAGAATAACCTGGCTGCCTCTTAAGGACTCTTTCATTTGAAGGACGTTCAGGCAACCTAGTCTATTCCTCATCCTACATCACTATTCTACTTTACTTTTCCTCCTTCCAAACCTCTTTCATTCCTCAAAAGATGAGTTAACCAAGGTTAGTTGACAGGGCCAGGTAACATCACTTCATTTGATCAGTCAAGTCTATGTCTAAGTGTATCATCACAGAAAGACCATTAAAGCCATAATTTGTTTGTTTGTTTTTTTCTTTTTGCCTTTTACCAACCTGATTTTTGGCCAAGCGCAACTCAACTAGACTAAAAAAAAATATGTATACAATCAGCAGAATGAATGCTCTTGCCCTTTACCCCAGCAAAAATACTTGGCTTTCACTTAGACAGAATCTGTTTAGAAACCTTAAATGTTATTTTACAAATTGAGTCCTCAACATTGTTTATTAAACTCATAGAAGGAACCAAGTCATCTGAAGAATAAGGTTCCCCTTATGAGTTCAAATTTTCCTTTGTCTTCAAAATACCAGCATTTGCACTAAGTTATTCAATTTTTGTTTTTTAAAAAAGCAAAATACTCCAGAAGCCCAAAAGTTTATTACATGTAACACTGACCCGGAGATTTATATGACTGCAGCTTCCAAAGAGCTAGAAGAAGTTATGAAGGAGGAAGACCAAATGCTAGCTCAGATATTTAAAACATTCTGTTGGTCCCTCTCTAGGACGCAAGACATTTATGTTTATCGAAACAGAAACCTGACAGTTTTAAGGACAAATCCACTTAAAAAAAAACTTGTCAAACATTATAAATCAGAATGGATGAATATCAATCAGACAGCCATGTTTATGCTTAAATATAAGCTGCAGTATGGGAGAGGTGCATAGGATGAAGGAACTATAAAATATTAATTTTGTTTTTGAAGAAAAACAACAGCCCTTGACACACTAGTATCGCTACTCTCACAGTTTACAACAAACATGGAGTAGGCATATAACTAAGTTTTTCTCCAATACTTTCTTTGTGTTAGAACACACTCTAATATAATTATGTAGTCTTGGTCACTGATAGCGACCCTTTAAAAGGCTACAATAAAGCACAATGAGATCATCTTCCTCATATGCTTATGCTTTTGACAAATCGTTTTCATACAAACGGTTTGTCACTGTCTGAAAATCCTAATATAACAACTGAAATAGCTGATGTGAACTGCAGAATTGCTAGCTACAGTTAGCTGTTAAGAAAATTGCTAGATGGACAAGACATCTGTGAGTAATTTAAATGAAAGAATATGAACAATAATAAAAGTGAAACTTCTAGGAAGCAACTAAGAGAAATAACAAAGGTCTCCCTGTTGAAATGAATTCCTCTGGCTCTAGTCCTTTTCTCTAAACCTGCTGGCTGGGCAACTTTATACAGCACTATTATTTCATTTCAAAGTAAAATTCTCTTTTCAAAGAGCTTCCAGCAAGAGACAGCTTTAAAGTAAAATGGGAAAAATTAAAAGTCTTAACTCTATAGTTATAAGAATATTTTAAAAAGCAGCACGCGATTTCCATTCCCACTTCTATTTTTTTCTATCCTATCTACAGGTACTGCTGGGAAGGGGGTTACTAAACAGTACCACTGGACAGGTGAGAGGGTATATCCATCATAGGGTCTTCAGTCACATTGAATTGATTGTTAGCAAAATTGTCACTACGTGATCACCAACCAACCTACACGCTCCTGGACCACAGGAAGTACAAAGACGACCATCACAGAAGTCAAGCGACACAAGTTCCCTGCTAAGCAGTCAGAGAATCGCAGAGCAATTGGAGATGGAAGGGACCTCTGGAGATAGTCTAGTCCAACCTCCCTGCTCAAAGCAGGATCACCTACAGCAGGTTGCTCAGGACTGTGTCCAGGCAGGCTCTGAATAGCTCCACAACCTCTCTGGGCAACCTGTTCCAATGTTTGACCACCCTCACAGTAAAAATGTGTTTTCCCATGTTCAGACAGTATTTCCTGTTTCAGCCCGTGCCCATTCCCTGTCACTTAGGCACCACTAAGAAGAGTTTGGCTCCATTTCCTTCACTCCCCCAATGAGGCATTTATATACATTAATACAATCCCCTCAAGCCTTCTCATCTCTAGGCTGAACAGTCCCACCTTTCTCACTCTCTCCTCGCATATCAGATGCTCCAGTCCCTTTATCATCTAAGCAACGCAAGCAATATTAGTCAGACTAGTAATTGCAAATGTATGAGTACAGGACAATTTATCTGGCAACAAGAAACAACATGCAGATAACCTGTATGTGGGCCAGGTGGGGCTGAGTAAATAAGAGTCTACGTATGGGCAGAGGCGAGAGAGGTTGCAGAAAAGCAAGGAATGAAGATGGACTTCAGGGGTCATTAGGATTCGGTATGAAAGACTGGCTTTATTTTCAGCAGCCACCAGTTTAAAAAAACCAAACCAAAACCAGAATGTCCTAGAATATTCTTAGCCTAAAAGCATCCTCAGTTTGTTTAGATTTCCATCTGACTCATAATACATTCTCCTCACTAAGAAAAAAATCACGAAGAGGGAAAAGCAAACACCCTGCATGAACAGGATGGAAGTTATTTCCTTATTAAATAGCACTAAATGACCAATAAAATCTTTAAGGTTTTGTAACAATTTAACAGTACAGAGGCATCCATCTTCAGAGCAAAACCTGACCGTGCTCCTAGAGAAATCCATGGTTAAGGCAGTCAAAGAGCCAGGTTCAAATCCCTAATCTGTTTGATTCAAACCAGAGTTACTCGTTCCAGGCCCACAGCATTTAGCATAAGAGCACCAGGAATCAGTATTTATCTTAAAATAACATAACAGACTGATAAGCCTTCAACAAGATTGGCAGTTTTTCCACTGAAAATATTCCCATCAGCCTTGCAATCAAGGGCTAAAATTAAAACACAGGATAAACACTATACTGCAACATAATATTGTATTTACAGACAGACGTAAAAAACCCATCATATTATACGATTAGAGCACAAAATCTGATACCACAGGATATTATAATCAGTTTTAGATTGAACGAGAAATACTTAAATATGGACAAGAACATATACGTTAAAAAAAACTGAGGGTAACCACTGCTACTGTTCTGGGGTCAGGCCTCCAGCTAAAGCACAGGTTCTTACCAGGAAGAGAAAAAGTAAGTCAAGAGAAATAAGCTGTTTTTTATTTCAGAGCCTTTTTTTTTTTTTTTTTAAAAAAAAAACATATTCCCAAAGTACTTCAGACTCTTATAACTGAAATATAAACACACACACTGGTCACTTCATCTTCCACTAAAATGCAGCAACATGCAGCATTAAGCGCAGCAAACTACTGAAATAACATACAATAACTCAATGAGTAAACAAGCAAAGGCAAAAATGTTGTAAATTAAACTTGAGGGATTGTTTTTTTTCCCCGGCATAGCTATCTTGAATGAGGCAGACAGAATCTTGAAATAGGGAATTCTGTGCTAATAAATTTTTAAGTGTTATTTCTTCCTTTACCTCTACAGACACTACTGACAGCAAAACACAAAACTTCTCTTGTCCATAGTGTAGAAGAGGCTACAGAATGCAGGACTGAACAGAGTGGGGATGCTGCACATTTCTGTGTACAGCTAGAACAGCGCAGAAGTTAATCAAAAATATTCCCTGAAAGGTACAGAAAGAAGCAATTGAATAAAGCAAGCAGCTTTTTCACAGAAATCTGGTACTGTTCTATACCCTTCCCTTTACCTCTACATTCACATGCACAGAGAGGGGTTTACCACAGATTTGATAGATTTCACAAGACCTCTGTGGAAAAAGGTCATTAAGGAAGCACAACATATAGGGACAGCATGAAAGAGTAGAGGGGGGGGATGTATGAGGCGGTGCACACAAAGGCGGTGCATAATTCCAGGAAAGACCATCAAAAAAACCCATCATGCAAAAGAAAAAAAATTTAAAAATAAATACATTCAAATCTGCTCTTTTACCTTGCTGTCAAAAAGATCGGTCCATTTTGTTGTTTCCCAGAACGTCTCTGTCAAAGCCTCTGAGCAGTTCTCATGATCCTCATCTTTTCCTTCTGCATCACTGGAAGCAGCCCCATCTTGGGCCTGCAGATGAAGAAGTTGGTCAGCCAGTGCGCTTCCTTTTCTACAAAGAGCATCCACTAAAGTGGTCTTCTGTTTTTCCATTTCACTGGGGGAGGAGAGAAGATAATATGAAAAATATTAAGGACCTACTGCAGATACATCAGTAAGAACAGAATCAACGCATTACTGAGTTTAAATTAAAATGGTTACAGCAGTTAGCAGACACAATGAAAATAAGCACGTAAAGATCATTTTTAGAACAAAGCTATTTATAGTTAACTAAACTAATTGTAAAGAACCACCTACAGAAACCATAATTAAAAAATGATTCTCAGAAGTCTGAAATGCCTTTGTTACCTTAAGGCAAGGGCAACTCAAGGTTCTAAAACCAAATAAACCAGCATCGAGCAACACAGCTTTACAGGTCTTGGCATTATAAACAGAGGAAGTCAAATCCAGCACTAACATAAGCAGATACAATTCTGCCGACTTCAAAGGAATTGCTCGCAGTTACACCGCCACTGAATTTGGTGTTCCATTTCAGATATTAAATTCAACCACATGATCTAATGGGTCAACTTATTGAGAAATGTTTAGAATGAAATTTATTAAGTGATTGCTTCACTTTCAAATCAGCAGTTCTAGAAAAATACACAAAAAATTCTGAATAGCTACAACAGATAGACTAGTCATACAATTGAAATCTAGTATTTTATCTGATATAATCAACAAATATGTATCTCCCCTTTTAAGGGCCTAATCTTCTGATTTCTTGCTCTTGTATTTGTGACTAAAACAGTGCAATATCATATACTGCAAAATCCACAAGTTACTCCCCAGATTAGGGCATCACCTTCAAAATATCATCTTTATAGTGATATATTTTGGTACTTCAGAGGAACTATCTAAAACTAGAGGGAAAAAAAAAGGCATGAAAGCTCTTCCTTTTTCCGAAATGCAGGAATGATCACCATGCCTTTCACATGCCTTTTGTGAGCGGTTACTTCCAAGACAGCTGCCAATTTTGTCTTCAAATCCAGTGTAAAAGGGTTACAAAGTATTATAAAAATGCAGGTAGCATTCTGAATGAACACCTCTATATTGAAATTCTAGTGGTCCCTCTGATTCGGGATTAAGCCTGATACAAACTTAATTATACCTCATTTTGCTGACATATTTAAATCCTGAGAACATCCTTGTTAATTTTATTTAAAATTTCTGAGCAACAAAATGGAAAGTTTCTCTGTTCTTATATGTTCCTGCATTCTAGATATATAATTAAATGATCTTGCAACCAAGTTTGAAACTGTCTGTGTCCAAAATAACAAGAGTTATTCAAGAAAGATTACAGTCATTCAAATTCTTATAAGCAGAGACAAAATGTACAGATTACAGAAATAGGATGCAAGAAAAAAAATATTTACTGGGTAGGTACTTTTTTATAGTAGTTGCATCAGGCCTGGGATCAGTCTTCATAGCAAAATAAACGGCTAACGCTGTCTGATCAATATGAGATATTACAGTGTTTGCAGCTTCAACAATTTCATCAAGTCTTTTCATTCGTTCCTACATGAAGGACAAAAAAAAAAGAGAAAAGAAAAAAGGTATTTAGCAATACAAAAGTCGTATTACTTAATTACTGATTCTACTACCACTAGGATAATTGCAAAGGTATGCAGAAACAACACTAGGTAATTCAATATGCCCTCTTCTTTACCTTCTCCAATTTCTGATTGAAAATAACTGAGTATAAGTCTGCATTATCAAGATTCTATACATTTGTAGAGCTGAAAATAAACTGTAAAATATTAGGAGAGTATATGCAAAATGCAGAGACTTTACAGTAAGGTGAAAACACCTTTCAGGATGAATTTATCTTCTTAAGAAATTTCTGAAAAGAATGACTGCTACCAGCATGAGTGCAAAAGCGGAATAAAAACAAACATTAGAGAAAAAAACAAACAAGTAAAAAAACCCAAATTCAAACTACAACCATACACATGAAGTTGTTTATCTTCCGTATTGGAAAAAAAAACAGGTAGACATATGCTGGTCTGTTTTAACGGTTCATGTTTCTCATTTTTGAGAACAGTAACAGATGGTGGATTTAGCTGTACCAGTTCAAGGAGTTACTGCCCTCAGCTGTCTGAGCAATTCTGCTACAAGAAATTACTGGTAGAGGAGCAGAACAGGATGTGCGCTTGTCTCGGGTACCCCCAATTTGAATGGTATTGTTATAGTCTAAAACAGTAAGAAAGCTCACAGTATGTTCAACTCACCTTGAAGAAAGTGATATGCAGACATACTATGCTTAGAAATACTTTTTTCATCTACTGTCAGGAAAGTAAATCACTGCCTGTTTAGGAAGCTGCCAATTATATCATTGTCAATCTAGTTACTAATTTCTGTTTTACTGTACTTCGCACAGGTATGGCAGTCACCTCAAGAGAAAACACTTAGGAAAAAGGATGAAGGGAAAACATTCAGATTCAGTTACTTAGGCTAAATACACGTATTGAGACAAATCTCAAGTTTTAAAAAGCTAAATAACCTTTTCAGAATCCAGCTGATGAAGTCTTGCAACATACAGTGGAAGATGATTAGGAAACGCTTCTTTCAACTCATTGTACACATCACTGGTATCCAGCCTAGAAAACAGAGCATGAAAGTACAGATTCTGGAGTTTCAGAGGTCCATAGTTTTTTCCTAACACTAAACAGTGACACTCAACTATTAAATTTTAACTTTTTTGGTACAACTGCTTTAAGCTCGTACAATAATGGCAGTAGACATACTTGGTCATCCATTGTATCTTTAGGTCTCTCAAAGCTTCAGCAAACTCTTCTTTTACATCCTTTTCTTTTTCCAGTTCTCTTTCTTTCTCTTTGCTGCCATTTTTACTCTTTGATGGTGATGGTATCAGATGATAGTGAACAGTAAGAACGTCCTGGAGGTGGGAAGAGAGAGACGTATTGAGGGGGATACAACATACCTTCTCTGATGCTACAAAATAAGCTAAATCACTACTCTGAGCTATACATACATTGAATAAGGATTCCAAGAGCAAAGGCATTAACTGTAAGACTTCAGAAACTGCTTTAACTTTTGCTAGCAATATAAGGATCCAAATATAAAAACAGTACAACTGGGTGTAAGAGAAGAAAACCTGAAGCTGATTAAGTTTCACATTTTTGTATTCAGGTAATTTTACATAATATTCCTTCAAGCATCAGAAGGAGGGTTTTTTGGTTTAAGAAAAGTAAAGTGATTTTGGTTAAAAGATGAAGGAATAAAATCAGTTAAAGATCCTATCCTTTAAAGTCTGAGAATAAACAAGTGAATGAAAAAGACTGAATTCTAAAAATAATATAACAGTCATATAAACATGAATTTGCCACATATTGTTTCAGGGGGAATATGCTCATATATATTTCTTCCACACGCCTACTGAATTAGCTGGTGCATCTCATCAACGTGTACAAGTATCTGAAGGGGGGAGGGTGTCAAGAGGATGAGGCCAATCTCCCCTCCGTGGTGCCCAGCAACAGGACAAGAGGCAATGGGCAGAAACTGAACCACAGGCAGTTCCATCTGCACCCGAGAAAAAACTTCTTCCCTGTGAGGGTGACAGAGCATTGGAACAGGTTGCCCAGAGAGGTAGTGGAGTCTCCTTGGCTGGAGATATTCCAAACCCGTCTGGATGTGATCCTGGGCAATATGCTCTAGAGGACCCTGTTTGAGCAGGGAGGTTGGACTAGATGATCTCCAGAGGTCCCTTCCAACCTCAACCATTTTGTGATTCTGTGATCTACAGTCAACTGTTTTCCATGTTGCTGCTACACACTTTTCAGGTTCACCTATATTTGTATTCAGATTAAGTAGACAGAACAGCCAAGATATTTTTTGAAAACTCTATATGCAAGCACAGAAATACTACTATAATTTGACTTCATGCTACACTAGTCAACAATTACCATGAGAATAGCAACTACAGACATTTAGAACAAAAAACTTAATTGATCTCAGACCATGCTCTGAATCCTATTTCCTAGGATAATTTACACATAAATTTGGAATTAAGTCAGTATTAGTTTTCAACCACTGCTTCTAACGCATACAACTGCTGGGGACTTTGTTGTTGTTGTTTGTTTTAAATTTTGCAACTTTTTAACAAGCTCCTCTGCAAACATTCAGTCCACATGTCCAGTTATTTTATATAAGCTATTTCACAGAAAAGATTACTTAAATCCTCCTTATAGCATTTGTTCGTTACACTGTGTCATCTCTTCAAGTGATGCAGCAATCTAATTGTTCATACCAATTATTCCAAAATACATTTGTGTGAATATATTTCCCATAAATCAAGTCAGTGTTGTATAATTAAAAAAACAAAAAAAACCACTTGTGCATGATATTTTAGTCACTTAAATAGTGAGTAAAAAGGTGACTATTAATAACTTTTGAGTATAATCTTGGAACAGTCACCTCTAACATCACACTTCTGAACCTATTCGAGAACAGTGATGCAGATTTTATTTGAACTGATAGTTCAAATAGAACAGCAGCTTGCTACAGGTTACTGAAAATACTGGTAAGACAAAATTACATCAACTTGCCCTTAAAAAATTACTCCAGGTATTTAACATGTAGCTACAATTGAACCACAAAACTGACATTTAAGATAAACAGCTATTTTTAAAAACTAGTTCAGATCCCTAACAGAAATTAAAGGGCAGTCATCACATGAACTACTCTACATACATGTATTTCAAGTATGAAGCACGTGACCAAGTACTATACCCAAGTAAGACTTCAGTAATACCTAGGCCAGAGCATGACAAAAATGGGTCACGGAGGCAAGCACACGCAGCGCAGAATTCAGAAGTCAGGAAAACTGTACAGGAGCTTGCCATGGTGATTAGAAAAGTAGAAAGCAAGACATAGCTCGTAAGAACAAAACAAACATCAAGATGTTTAAGAAGTAAGAAAATCCGGATCAGCAGTTTAAGGTGGTTTTTAAATACATCTTCTACTGATATTAGTATCTTCCTGAGAAAGAAATCTCCCTTCCTAAGAATATTGTTATAAGATCTCAGGATTTTCTTCTATATAGCTGATTTCCTTCTTTAAAGTCCTCTTCAGTCTTAGTTGGCAATATCTAATTGGGGTTTAGGTATCTAAATGGCTGTTGCATTCTCAAGCTCTGTCTATATGAGAAGACTACCAGTCCGGTTTAAGGTTTCAAAACAAATGTAATTAGTTCAGCACAATCCCAATTATGTGGATGAATATTTTCATTTAAGAGACTTATCCTACATAGTTAAATGATTAACAAGGCAGTGAAATGCCAGCTCACTGTTCTCTCAGCTAGTTACGTCCCCAGGAGATTCTGCAAGCACTACAAGCCATGACCACTAAAACAAAAACAATGAGCTTCAAATTTGGGCACCTTTCTTTCTCAAAAAGAGTTCACAGAGAAGTGTAGCAACATAGCTTCTTCCTGCAACCCATCAGAAAAAGCACCAAATAAAGTGAGCTCCAGCAGCCATTCCCTTTTCCACAGACACCAATCTTATTTCAAGACAGAGATAAGGTCCATGTGCATATCACATTTCACTAAACTATCACAAGACTAAGTACAGACTTTAGGCTTCTGCACCATTTTCATCATTCCATATGTAACTGCTAGCATTAGTTATGCAAGTCCTTGCAATCCCTTAGTCACCAGAAGATCTCAGGATGACACTATCCTTGCCTTTACAGAAACGAAGTAAAGTATAATTTCTCTTCCTATAGCAGTGAATTTCACAGTAGCGTTTCAAAGGATTTGAAGGAGGCAAAAGAGTACCCAAGATATCAATTTCTGCACCGTCCCTTCCCCAAGGCTCTTCTGAAACAACCTGAACAAATTTTAGTCCCCTGGGCAGGAAGACAAGAGGCTCGTCCAAATATTCTCAGAAATGTGAAAAGTCTGCAGACGTTAAGGATTTCTGGAAAGTATTAACATGATGACGGGGGAAAAAAAAGAGTCCATTCCTTCATGCGCTTCTTTTCCTGGATTTATAGGAAACCCTAGTTGCCATCAATTTCCTATACATCTTTTCCCGAGTTAAGTCAACCAGTTGACTTTAACACAGAACCTAGATTTAATAGGCACAGCACTACTTACTTTTAGAAAAAAGGCTATTCAGGTTAACTAAAACATGGCTGATTATAAGTTAAATGAGCTAGTGATGGCAACAAGTTCACTACCAAAATGAAAAATTTTAATACTTTTCATTACTAGACTGTATGAAATTAAGTGTACTCAAACTGATGACTGAAGACACTTCATATCTGCCAGGACCATTTTTTCAGTAAGCCTAAGCATGAACATTAGACTACACTAAATAACATTCGGAAGATAACAACATTATCTATAAAGGAAGACTGGCAATGGTAATTGCTATTCTCACAAAATATTGCTAGCCCTGACTTAATGTCACTAAATTGGGTTCAACAACCTACACCGTTTACATTGAACATTAGAAGTAATGGAGGAAGAAAAGGCTACTTCACACAATTCAGTGCTTTAAGCGGTTTTCTTATTCAAATTTCACTCTGCTTGTTGTATCATAGCAACCAGATTGCTAGCATACTGTATTTTATTTTTTATATTGATGTAAAAAAATATATATAACTATAGATAGAGAAAGAGAGTGAGCAAGCATACTTTCCACTGAAAACCTACTGTAAGGAAACTTCCCAATTAATGAGAAAGCTGCCCTTTGTTTATTATCTAAAAACAAACTAAATAGCGTTAAAAACCTTGGAAGTACATAGGATTTGCACTTCGTTCAGTGTACTTTGTGTATAGTTGGTAAGCCTCAGTGGGTTTACTTGTAACTAGAACTACAAACTGCATACATACAAGGAGCACAGTGCCCTCAAAACAGTCACCTCAAAAAAGCTTAATTAAAAGCTTAAATATTCTCTTAAATTCCCTTCAATATTTAAATTTAAGTTTTTGTTGAATGATTCAACATCTGGTACTTTATGTGGAAAAAGCATATGAACTATCTTTTTTTCTGTTTTAAAGCATTCCACAGCAAAGCTAAGCACAGCAACCAGCTCCTTAAGGAATGCTTCCCTTATCTCATTTTCCATTTACTAAATACCAAGCACGCACATAACAGACTGTGGTTAAGAAATTCCGCAGCTACTTTAACTTGCAAACAATTTAACATTGCTTATTTTTATGGTACTAACCTTACTTAATTGAAAATGAATGCAGTTTCTCAAAGTCACCTTCAAATATACAAAATTAAATCAGACACACGTAGTTCATCCCATTTTTAAAGGTCTCCGGGTTAGAAAGGGGAGTGCAAGGCATCAGCAGATAGTGCTGAACGGAAGTCATGCAACACATTTCCCCTCATATGAGAGTTTAGAACAGTATCTAAAAATATCTGCATAGTCCATTCCTTGCTCCAGAATAGGGAACAGGAGGGTAGAGTAGGAAACTTTTAATCCCTTAGGTCAGTCAATACATTGCTGTTCAAAAGCTGCATTATGTAAAATAATAGAAAATGCTTTTTACAGACCAGAAAAAGTCAGGGATCTATTTTCATTCTGACTAGGGAGACAAGGGAAAAATCTCAGATTCTATATCGGATATTAAAAGCTAGGTGGTGAAAGAAGAAAGGCACGTAAGACCAACTTGTTTTTCACATGGCTGTTTAGCATGCACCTCTCCATTAGAGACTAACAGCACGTTAAATCAACTTCTCAAGTCAAGACAGCAGGGTTCTCTCTACTTCAGCAGGCACCACTGTCAAGGAAAAACCACTGAATCCTGAACCTTATAGTCATCACAGGTTCAATTAGAAAGGAAAGGTTTTTTTTTTTTTGTTTTGTGTTTTGTTTTTTGTTTTTAAAAAGGTCCAGACACATGAAGACATTCAGTAGAAACCCATACCTAAGGTGTCTTTTTATATTTACATAAAATTTAGTCTCGCAGAAAAGCTCTTAGGTGGACAGCCCTGCTGTACGTGTTTAGTAAGACAAAGACCCCTACTTATTCTGTGGAAAGGACCCACTGACGTTTTTATTTGGTTATAAAATAATGAACCGTCTTTTTTGGAAAAAGACAGGCTGCTATTTCCTAGCATAACCTCAAATTGCTTTCACACAAAAGAAGTATTTTCAAACTGCCACAAAGCCCATCCTGGGTTTCTGATAGTGCCACACACACAAGGTGCAAGCTATCATATTTGGGGGTGGGGGATGACTTTCTGTAGACTAGTCACTGATACTAGAGTAAAAAAAAAAAACCATCCCTAAAACAAAAATAAGGTCTATAAACAAAAACAAGAGGGGGAGGACTTCTCTTAAAAAATAAGATGAAAAGTCTGTGTGTACCTTGCTGAAATACAACTTGACTCACCAGTCCACAAAAGGGTTAAAAACATTTTCAAGCATGGAAAAAAATCTGCACTGCACACATATTTTAAGCAAGGAAGCAGGGTAAGTATTCCAGACTTGTCAACTAAAAAGCCTGCAGATTTTCAGTCTCAGGAAGAACTATTAGTTGACGAAGCTGTTACGAAGCAATGTTCTGAGATACAGTGCATTTTATTACCCACGCTTAGTAGGACAACACCTCTTACGGAGCACAGGTGGAAGTATCAAGAAAAGGAACAGTTATTTTGGCTTAGGGGTATATACTGCTCATATCTCAAAAATCTCTGCTCTAAAGACAAAAGAAAACATCTAGTGACCTCCTGGAACTGAATAAGAGGTTTCCTTACGCAAATTAAATTATGATTAGAGAATATTAACTTCCTTACCACAAGGTTCACTTAGTGAAAACATTACACACTATCCCCCGGAAACCACGTATTCACAAAGGATTTTAAATAATCTATTTAAAAGCAATAGATATAACTTTTAA